CCAGGCTCCTGCAGCTCAGGCCTCCCAGAGCCAGAAGGCACCAGCTCAGGCCACAATGGCTTTGCCTTCCTCCCTGACCTCACCTCCTCACCTCACTGTGCTCCAGGCTTTTCTCCATCTGTCTTAAGGTGGGTTCTGCCTCGGAGCCTTGCACTTGCTGCTCCCCCTGCCTGAGAGTTTCCCTGGGCTGCCTCCCACCCTGTGCAGTCTGATGCTACTGCAGGAGTCTTCCAAAGTGACCTTGCTCATGTCCCAAACTATCCTTTGCCCCGTTGTATTTTTTTCGTAATTTTTTTCTCCATTATCTGTATACAGATCCACTTTCTTCCATTCCCTAACTACAATATAATCTCACTCTATGGCAGCAGATATTTTGCTGTCTTGTTCATTCCTGTATTTCCAGGACTACAGCAGTGCCTGGGAAATAGCAAAAATGACTGTAGCTAACATGTTCAAAGAGCTCTGGGGCTCTAGGTGCCTTCCAGTGATGAGCTCAGAGTCCTCCTGAGAGGCTGAGGAGGGTCTTATGACTCTTCCCCTCTTGCTGATGCAGCTGAGACCCAGATTTAGGCACCCTTGGGAAGCCTGGCCTGGGGGTACACACTGGCCCAGTAGCAGCTGGTACAGGCAGTGATAGCAACCTGGACACACCGCTGGATTTGGCTGGGCAGGTGTCTGTTCCAGAAAGCCCCGCACAACAGGGGTATAGGAAGAGGGGGCAGGGATGGGGCTGATGTCCGGCCACCACCCTGCATGTGGCAACTTGTGGCCCCTGCCGGGCCTTGGCTAGCCCAGCCTTGGCTGACCAGGTCAGAGGTGGAGCTGGGCTTTATCCAGTGACCAGGGACCCAGGGGATAGGAAGGGGCCTCATAGGCAGGAGTGGTCAGCTCTCAGCATTTTCTCCTGCTTTGTGTCAAGGACAAGGCTGCAGCTTGTGGAGAGCAGAGAACGACTTTCATCTTTTCTTTTTTTTTTTGAGACGGAGTTTCACTCATGTTACCCAGGTTGGAGTGCAATGGCGCGATCTCGGCTCACTGCGACCTCCGCCTCCTGGGTTCAGGCAATTCTCCTGCCTCAGCCTCCCGAGTAGCTGGGATTACAGGCACGCACCACCATGCCCAGCTAATTTTTTGTATTTTTAGTAGAGACGGGGTTTCACCGTGTTGACCAGGATGGTCTCGATCTCTTGACCTCGTGATCCACCCGCCTCTGCCTCCCAAAGTGCTGGGATTACAGGCTTGAGCCACCGCGCCCGGCCGACCTTCATCTTTTCTACAACTATTCCTGTGAGCCAAGTAGATAAACAACCCTTGCAGTGAGCCGAGATTGTGCCACTGCACTACAGCCCGGCGACAGAGCAAGACATCATCTCAAACAAACAAAACAAACCCTGCCCTCATGCAGCTTTGCTTCTGATAAAGGAGACAGAGGGACCCTAAAAAGAAGAAAGATGTGACACAGCAGGTGGGTTGGGCGTGGGCATCTGGGCATGCTCCTTAAGACGGGTACTCAGCCACAGGGGTCAGCCCGCAGGGGACTGGGCTGGGATTGGCAAGGAGAGGCGGCCAGAATGTGGGTGTGAGGGGACCCCCACAGCAAGACAAAGGAGGGCCCATTTCCTGAGATGGGGAAAACCAGAGGAGGAGCATGATTTTTATTTCAAAGAGGTCAGGTAGAAATAAGTCCCTGGCCAGGTGTTGTGACTCACGCCTGTAATGTCAGCAGTTTGGGAGGCTGAGGTGGGTGAATCACGAGGTCAGGAGTTCAAGACTAGCCTGGCCAATATGGTGAAACCCTTCTCTACTGAAAATACAAAAATTAGCTGGGCATGGTGGCGCACGCCTGCAGTCCCAGCTGCTCGGGAGGTTGGGGCAGGAGAATAGCTTGAACCTGGGAGGTGGAGGCTGCAGTGAGCTGAGAGTATACCACTGCACTCCAGCCTCGGTGACAGAGCAAGACTGTCTCAAAAAAAAAAAAAAAAAAAAAAAAATCAAAAGTCCCTGCAGTGACACCACCCAAGTGCCGAACACCCTTGCCCAGGTGCCCTGTGAGGGGGGGTGGGGGCTCTCAGCCTAGTTGGGGGACAGAAGGTAGACGCTTAGACCAAGGAGAAAGTGGCAGCTTCAGGAGAAAGAACAGGGCCTCCCAGCTGGGCTTTGAAGGGTGGGGAGAGTTGTGGACCTAGAGAATGGGAAGAGCACCCCATGAAAGTCAGCCAGGCAGGGAAAGAACACTGCACACACTGAGTGCCACAGTCCCACTGCCTGTGCGGGAAGGCTGGGCCCAGGCTAAGCTCTGAGCCTGCAGCTGGGCCCCAGCGGAGTCCCACGGTGCAGTCCGGGCCCACTCCTGCCTGGCGCCCTTGGCCAACTCCTCCAGTAGCAAAGGCGGCCAGAGTGTGGGGGCTGAGCAGCCTATCCCACTGTATAGAGCACACAGGAAGCCACAGCTGGGGCCCTCCCCTGGGTCATGGTGTGGGTTCCTCAAACCCTGCTTCCCCAAACCACCTGTGATGCAAATGTTTCCAGTTGCTTTCCCACCCCTCCACGATGTCGAGACTGGGTAAGGCTTCCTGCTCTGTCCTGTTAGCCCTGGGTTGAAGTGTCAACTCAGTGTCCTCTTTTATCTTCTTGGAGACAGGGTCTTGCTCTGTCACCCAGGCTGAGGTGCAATAACGCCATCTTGGCTCACTGCAGCCTCTGCCTCCCAGGCTCCAGTGATCTTCCCACCCCAGCCCTCTTCCCACAAGCAAATGGGACCACAAGTGCACACCACCACTTCTGGCTAATTTGTGTTTTTTGAGATGGAGTTTCTCTCTTGTTACCCAGGCTGGAGTGCAGTGGCGTGATCTTGGCTCGCGGCAACCTCCGCCTCCTCGGTTCAAGCGGTTCTCCTGCCTCATCCTCCCAAGTAGCTGGCATTACAGGCATGTGCCACCACGCCCAGCTAATTTTGTATTTTTAGTAGAGATGGAGTTTCTCCATGTTGGTCAAGTGATCTGCCCACCTCGGCCTCCCAAAGTGCTGGGATTACAAGGCATGAGCCACCATGCCTGGCCTCAATTTTTGTATTTTTTTGTAGAGACAGGGTTTCACCATGTTGGCCAGGCTGGTCTTGAGCTCCCGACCTCAGGTGATCCACCTGCCTCAGCCTCCCACAGTGCTGGGATAACAAGTGTGAGCCGGCCAGGCACAGTGGCTCACGCCTGTAATCCCAGCACTTTGGGAGGCCGAGGTGGGTGAATTACCTGAGGCCAGGAGTTCAAGACCAGCCTGGCCATCATGGTAAAACCCCATCTTTAAAAAAAAAAAAAAAAAAAAAAAGTGTGAGCCACTACGCCTGGCCTCAGTGCCCTCTTATTTGGGCCCTGTTGGTCACCAGGTCCTGGCCATCACGGTCAGTACCTCCCCAGCCCCCCATGCGGACACACCCTCTCTCCTCCAGTGCTGCCCCAGCTCCCTGCGGCCTTCCAGCCACCTGCACCAGAACTGCTCAGAGTGATAGTTAAAAGACAGACTCCTCTGTCCTGTCCTTGACCCACTGGACCAGAGTCCCAGGGGTGAACACAAATGACTGTCACCCAGAGGGAGCATGGACACCCAATAGTGCTACTTGACATAAATGTAAGATTTGTTGGGAAGCTCACAAGTGGCAAAGCAGCAGTACCCCAGCTCCCATCCTCCTCCTGGGGCAGTGCCTGTCACTCTGCACTCAACCTAGGGAGGAAGCAGGAAGAACATCTGGGCGATTATGTAACAGGGGGCGTGTTCTCGTTAGAAAGGTGCCCTGGGCCTATGGTCAGCCTATTCTTCCAGGCACTAGAGGCTGAGTTGGCTTCTTGTTAAACTGCTTAAAAGACGACAGGCATGAGTCTCCAAGGATGTCCGAGTTTCTCTGCTCAGTGGGGTCCTGACAGCCCAGCAGGCAGGAAGAGGCCCAGTCTCTTAAGGTCTGGGTCACAGCACACTTCCCCGCTCCTCTTGCTGATGGAGGCCACCTGGAGACAGGACCCAACTCCAGCTCTGCCCTAGAAAGATGTGTGGCCCCTCATGTCCTTATTTATGATGGAACACTGGTTAAAGACCAGGAACAGACCACCCAGGGCAGTGGGGGAGCAAACGCTCTTACAAATAACAGGCCCCAAGGCAGTGACATCAGGGAACCCAGGGAGCCAAAGCGTCACTTCCAACAGGCCTGGCCTCAGGGGACCCAGCCGTGCCCTCTACCAGCAGCAACAGGGAACCACTACACCAAAGGAGCCCTTAGGCTAGGGAGAGAGGTGAGAGCTCAGGAGACAAAGGGAGCAGCCTGAAGGCTTCCCAGGTCCCTTCCCCTGATGCCCCCTGGCAGCTCCACTGATGAAAGGACTCCTGGGCTGGGCTCTGACTTCTCACCTCTCCTTCTCTGGTCCCACCTCTGGTGTTCACTCACAGTCATTCAGCTTGTCTGTCTTCCACCTCCTGTTCTGTCTTCCACCTCCTGTTCTGTCTTCCACCTCTTGTTCACACCCCATGCCTGCTGGAAGGGTCCTGCCTGCCTCCATCCTTCAGCTCAGGCACACACCTGAGTGTGAAACCTTTTCTTCAGGTTACCTCCTGAAGTCCCCTTTACTGTCCCCTCCCCACCATGGCAGGCATTTGGCCCCACCTGGTGAAACATTCTGCTCAAGGCAAACTCCATACTCTCCAGGTATGGGCTGAAGCAGCACCACTTCCACTGCCGGGCCTGGCCACCTACACCAGAATTGCTTCCAGCAGCCATTTTTGCCTTAAGTCACCTTCTCAGCTGTGGTGGCCGCCCCCAGAGGAGGGAGGCTCGCCTGGTGTAGGGCAGCAGAGGTGGGTGAACAGCCTTCTGACGCATGCCTGCTGGGACTGGACCGGAGGACTTGTGACCCGGAGCTCAGAAACACGCTGGGAGATGGGGGAAGACAGGGTGGCGCTTTGGTGCCACGGGAGATGGAAGACGTCCTGTGAAGTGGGTCAGCAACACACATAGCTCTTGTGTTCACATTTATTACAACTTGGAAGCAACACACAAGCCTTCCTACTCCTGGAGGTGTCATCCCCAAGGACCCAGGAAATAGCCTTGTTTCACGGCAAAGAGCCCAGAGTCCCCACTTGGGCAAAAGCAAACAAAACAGTTACGTTCCTTTCCGGCAAGTGCAGATCCTCTTCCCACGCCTGCAGAAGCCAGCTCCGGTCTGTGTGTCAATCCGCCCCAGGACTTCCGGCCCGCCAGCTCCATTCCAGCCTCCACGCGGCTCCAGCTCCGCGGCTTCCTCGAGCCAGGCTGGTCCTGCGTCGCCATCTGCTGGCCACGCGTGCGCAGCACGGCCAGGTCCTGGGGCCAGCAGAGGAGTCGGAGGCTGAGGGGCCTGAGCGCCCTTCCACCGTGCCTCCCAGGGAGCCTAGCTGCCGAAGTATTCCTGCTGGAACTTCTGGAAGTCTTCCTCAGTGAACACGGTACCCTCGGCCTTCTTCTTCTTGGTCTTGGCCACAGGCCGGTCGCAGGCCTTGCGGCCTCGGTTCTGGCGCAAAATCTGAGGGTGCGGGAGCGAGAGCCCATCATTTCAAGAGCGGAGGAGGCCCGCGCAGGTCACGGGGGAGGGCGACGCAGCGCAGGGCGGGCCCAGCCTGCCACCCCACGCTCAGGGTTGAGACTGCCATGCCCTAGGGGAATAGCCTCGGCTCTCATCTCCTAGGTTCCTCCCCATCGCCCGTCCCCTCAACAGACCTGCTGGCTCACAGACTCAGCCACGGCGCTTCTCCCACTGGTCAGAAACTTCAGGTTTACTTTGAGGTGGTCTCGACACTCTCGCTTCCGGTACTCGTCTGTGGGTGGCACGCAAGGGGCACCATTTCAGATTCACTCCCCCTCCTGGAAGCATTCTTGGTCCCTGGCCCATGGCCCTGCCAAAGACCTCATCGTCCCCTTCCCAGATTATTACAGCGGCTGGGCTCTTCTCCATCAAATGCACGCTCCACACAGGTCCTGCTGACAGCCCCAGGCTCTCGGCCCCCCATGTAACCTTCCCAACAACTATGTCCTGAATACTACTCATGCCAAGGAAGCTGCTCCGGAGCTTACGCTTCAGTGAGAAGAGAGACGAAGGACAAAGGACACAGCTTATTAGAGGCGCATACATTTTATGGAGAAAAAACAGGAAACATAAAAGGGGAATTCCAGGGGTGAAGGGTACAATTTTATTTTATTTATTTATTTATTTTTGGGATGGAATTTTGCTCTTGTTGCCCAGGCTTACTGCAACCTCCGCCTCCCAGGTTCAAGTGATTCTCCTGCCTCAGCCTCCCCAGTAGCTGGGATTAGTAGCATGTGCCACCACGCCCGGCTACTTTTGTATTTTGTAGAAGAGATGGGTCAGATTGGTCAGATTGGTCCATGTTGGTCAGATTGGTCTCGAACTCCCGACCTCAGGTGATCTGCCCGCCCTGGCCTCCCAAAGTGCTGGGATTACAGGTGAGAGTCACCGTGCCTGGTCAGTGCAATATTAAATAGGAGGGAGTGAGAAAGTCTCGCGGAAATGACACTGTAGCAGCCTTGGAGAGAGCTGTAGATATTCTGGGGAAGAGCATTTGTCTAGGTGGAGGGAGCACCCAGTGCAAAGGCCGTGAAGCAGAAATGTGTCAAATGTGTTTGAAAAATAGAAAACAGGGCCGGGTGCGGTGGCTCACGCCTGTAATCCCAGCATTTTGGGAGGCTGAGGTGGGTGGATCACAAGGTCAGATAGAGACCATCCTGGCTACATGGTGAAACCCCATACTCTACTAAAAATACAAAAAAATTAGCTGGGTGCAGTGGTGTGTGCCTGTAATTCCAGCTACTCA